AATATTTTTCCTGTTTTTCTTTTATTTCTTATCATTGAACTTTATGTTAATATAGGTTGATGTACAATGTGATAGTACTGAATTTTTTGACAACTGGTACTGATTTCTGCAGGTATTTATGAGACATTAATATCTAACTGATGATCTGATCAAATATTGGTTTAGATACACCAGAAAACACAAATAAAAGAGGAATATGCTTCAATGTCAACAGGTCAGACAACATTAAACAGATGTGTTGTGAGAATAAAAAAAACAGAAGAAGCAGGGGCATAGAGCAGGGGGACAGTCTGATRGCTCGACGCTGTTCTCTGTGTTCCTGTTGTTGCAATAAATCTCAGCTTACCATCCCACAGAGTACCTTCATTCATGGACCACGTATTTCTGTCTTTGTTAAATACATTTTTCCATAACAGCCGGTAAGATTTAAAAAGGGCTGAGCCATAGGTAAAACAGGGCAACACACTTGAATATTAAAATCACCAACAATAAGAACTCGGTCGTACTTTGGCATAGTTTCTGCTAAAAAGTCTGAAAAGTCGATTATAAAATCGTTATATTTTGGAGGCCGATAAACCACAACACACAGCACTGTGTGGGAGCTGCCATGTTCAAACAGGCCGAGCTCAAAGCTGCTGAACGAGGATGGAGGCAACTGTTTACAGTTAAAACGACATAAAAATAGCCACTAATCCACCTCCTCGACCCGACATCCGTGGAGAATTAAAATAGCAGTCCTGAGGCTAAAGTTCGTTAAAAACGCTGGTCCACCTGTCCACGATTCGGTAATAAATAAAAGATAAAAAGAAATCCTTAACGATAAAAGTTTTATTTGCCAGCGATCTGGCATTTATCAGGCTAATCCCGGCAGCAACTGGTGCATCCGCGTCCTTAACCGATGTCCCGAGGGCCCGACAGAGGCCGCAGGTTTGAGAGGTTCCTCCTGCGTCTGCAGGGACGAGGAAAACAGGAACCGCGGGATTGGATCATTCCATCCTGACCACCAATGGCAGGTATCTCAAGAAAACAGTCAGGAAATTAACTATCTGGAGGAAGCCATCGGAAAATTAATTTATCTGGAGAAAACTAAGAAATGAACTAGTTATCTCAAGAAAACATCGGTAAAATAACTCATCTCGAAAAACCATCGGGAACTTAACTTGTTATCTGGAGAAAACATCAGGAAATTAACTAGTTATCTCGAGAAAACAGGAAATTAACAATCTGGAGAAAACCATTGGGAACTTAATTTGTTATCTAGAGAAAACCATCTGTATATTGACTCGTTATCTTGAGAAATCATCAGGAAATTAACTCATCTCAAGAAACCGATCTGTAAATTAATTCATTATCTTGAGAAAACCATCGGTAGAGATTAACTCATCATCTTGAGAAAACTATAGTTAAACTCATCTTGAGAAAACCAAAGGTAAATGAACTCATCTAAAAAACTCAGGAAATTAATTTATCTTGAGAAAATCATAGGGAAATTTACTTGTTATCTTGAGAAAATGTTCATTATTTCATGATCACAATATAAATATAAGACTAACAAGTACACAAGGTTTTATTAAAGTGCATGCTGACTCCTTATTTCCACAAAAAAAATCACATTTATTATTTATGATTTTTACTTATACAGTGATGTGTGAAAGTTTGGGCAGTCTTGTTAATTTCCCTGATTTACCTTTATAAATCATTGATTGTTTGAGTAAAAAAAAATCAGTTAAATGTATCATATAGGGGACAAACACAGTGATATTTGAGAAGTGATATGAAGTTTATATGATTTACAGAAAGTGTGCAATAATTGGTTAAACAAAATTTGGTAGGTGCAAAAATTTGTCATTTTATTGATTTCAAAACCTTTAGAACAAATTATTGGAACTCAAATTAGGTTTGTTAAGTTCAGAGACCCTTGACC